CCCCCACCCCCACCCCCAGGAGCCTTTGGGGGCCCAACTTGCCTAACCGAGACCAAGCAGGGGGATGCCAGCCTGGCGCAGTCACCTCCAGTCAGAACCGCAGGAACCGGGCGCCAAGCAGTGGGCAGGAGACCCGCCTGGATTGGCCTTGTGGTGCCTGACTAAAGGGCTGCGGGGCTGCAGAGAGGAGCATCCCTCAGCTGCAAATCCCACGTCACAGCACCTCCAACACATTATTTATGCCTCCTTTTCACGATGCATTAATGAGCGCCACTGAAATTTTAATTTTTAAAAAATTTATTTGCGGGTTATTTTGGTCATAACACAAAACAAGGTGTGACTTTACTATTGTCGCAGTTTTCAATCAGAACATTGCGCCGGCGGCGAGGTGTGCAGGCCTCGGCTCACAGCCGCTATTGTTGGTGTGAGAAATGCCGAGCTGGGCTTTGCGGAATAATCACTAGCTCCCGTGAGGCTTCTCCCCCTTCTCTTTTCCCTCCCCGAGGACCGCACTCTCCTAGAAGGGGGACCCCAGGAGGAAGGTCTCAGCCTCTCCCCAGTCCTCCCGAGCTTGAAAATACCAGGCCTAGACCTCTGCTCGCTGCCCTCGGGCCAGCCGCCGGGCACACAGAGCTGCGGCCACAGGGCGGCAGATGCAACGCAGGGGAAACGAGGATGGAGTGAAGGTTTCCTGCACTCGCAGTTTCTATCAGACTGATTAGGCCCCGTCAAAAAAGGCCATTTTCCCAGGTTTGGGACCCTGTGGGCACTGGCACATGCTTAAGCCCCCTTTCTTCCGAGCTTCAGACCATGAGCCTCTCAGGGAGAGCTGCCAAGAATCATCATAGAAATTCGCATCTCCAGGGTCCTGTTCCTCAGGACTCAGTGTGAACCTAGTCCTAGGGGTTTACAGGATCGCAGTGAGGACCCGGGCAACATAAAGCGCTCAGCCTCCCATGGCACCCACCGCGGTTCTGTTCGCCTGTAAGACACCCGCTGCACGCAGCTCCCTTCCTTAACCACCTCAGACAAACAGCCCCCAGAGCGCCGCTCTCAGCCTGGGTCCCCAGGGCCGGCGGGAGGCTCTGGTGCGAGGCTTCAAATCAAATCTAAATCCAGACTCAGCTACAGCTGCTAGCCCTGAGCCCAGTGGGGCTGGGAACGGATGCTGGGAAGGACTCCCGGCCTGAAGCGCTGGACAGCCGCGTCTAGACCGCGGGTTTAATCCGCTCGCACTTCGCAGCCGCCTGCAAAACTATAATTGGCCGGGGACCCGGGCCCCGGAACCGCGGAGCGATCTGTACGTCCACTCTCCTGCCCTTTCATCAAATCACAAGGTTAGAGGAGGCGACCTGCTTGCTAGCGTCTGAGCCACGGCTTCCTGCGGCAGCTGGTCTGGCCTCAGCCTTGCCCCTCATTAACTCGGGGGCTAATGGAAACTGAAGGCCAGGATGTGGTCCCAGGTTTTCCGTAAAGACCCATGGCAGCCCTCGTGCTTCGCGCATCCACCAGCTGGACGCCCTGCCTCCTCTCCCGCGCCTTCTCTGCCTGAGCCTCCATCCCTCCCGC